AGAATATAGTGTGTCAAGGTATTGATTTAATAGCTAACAAGCTTATGTAATGTAAGATGTAAGATGTAATGTAATGATGGGGATGACTCAGCAGGGTCTGTGTCTCTTTAAGAGCATTTGTATAAAGCAGGGGTGTCAAACTCGCAACGTCATGTGACGTGTCGTGACGTATCGTGATTTTTTTCGTCATTGCCAGCAATCGGGTGGGCATGGTTTCGCTATGATGCATCTGGCCTGTGGGCCAGCAGTTTGACACCCTAGTATAAAGGGAAGGCTCTGCTGATGTGTTCTCTCTTTTCTGTTTCCTGCTGTAATTGTGATATGTTGGATCCTGCTATATTAGCACGTGTATGTATATTGTTCCTGGTGTATAATATTGTAGATAGTGTAAGATAAACCACCATTTAATACAAACCAGTTTACTGTGTTTACTCCTGGGTTATCTCAGCTCATTAAGACTGCACGCTCTGACATAGTGGCTTAAATTTCACTTTGCAACTAACCACAATTCAAACAGCTGTTTCCAACTATGATAGGATCATTTGTCTCAAGAGTTGCATGTATGGGTCAGCACCATCTTAGTGTCAAAGGAAAAGTTTTTCCAGAGTGAGGGGGCTGGAATGAAGCAACGTGCCCTGGCCATCTTACCACGGACAACTTGTCCCAGTTGACTTGCCCCAGTCAGCTTGCTGCAGGACAACTTGCCACAGCCAACTCACCACAGGACAACTTGCTGTGGGACAATTCAACACAGGATAAACTCAAGAGAGGGACAAGTAGAATTGCAGCTCACCCCACCCTTGAGGACTTCTAACCTGAGATGGTTCAAACCTAAAGCAAGACAAGGCCATTGCAATTCACTTCTCCCTTTTGTTGAAGGAAAAGTCTTCATCATGGTTCAGTCCATGCCGGGAATAAACAACATGGTGACTGCTTTAGAAAGAAGGTTGCAGTTTATTGAAGAGGCAAACCAGACAAAAAGATGGCTCTGGAAGAAAAAAGAGAGAGAGAGCATACGTAGGGAGTGGGGTTTTATACTCTCTGGAGCCTTTTGTTTGGAGTTGTTTCCTGTTCCTGTTTGGGGCTTTGTATTTCCTGTGTCATGTATTCTGACTTGAGTCCCTTTGGCATCAGTGGGTTAATCCTATTATGTCCTGTCTTAGAGTTTGGGTGGGGTATGTAGATTTTAGGTGTCTTTTGTCTTCTTAATCTTCTAGCTGGGGGCCTCCAACCTTCCTGGATGGTTTACATCTGCATTTCTACAGAGCTGGTTTCTGCTTGGGGGAGGAAGACTTGGGACTATTAAGAAAACTGGGCATGCTTTTCTGCCTCTTTAAGATCCTTTGAGGAAATATATTTTTCTGCCCTTTTAATATTTCCTTCTCTGGGGGGGGATGATTTCCCACAAATCCCCCCTTTGTGCCATAAGTGTGTGAATGACACCCTTGCTGGCACAAGATTAAAATTGATCTGGTCAGGGAGACTTGGTAAACAAGCTTTAAACTGTTAAGTCAAAAAAAAAAAAGAAGAGGGGAAGACACTAATGGAGGCAGCAGAAACAGATCCCTTTAGTGGTTCCCAAAAGGGGAGCTTCCAACCCATAAAGTTCTAAAAGTCAGGGCAAAAGATTTGTTAGGTGGAAAAGAAATTTAGTTCCCAATATTCTGTGCCAATCATTTTCAAGTGCTGGATGTCACTTTGAGCTTCCAGTCAGGTTTGCACATTCCTCTCAAAATTCTTCACAGCCATGGTTTGCCTCAGTATATAACCACTGGCTGCCCATTTTCAAAGTTTGTTTCCTGCCTTAGCTCAGTTCATCCAGGTTAGTGATGTCCAACTGAGGTTAGCCAGTCTGCAAGCCAGGCTATTAAATTTTCTTAAATTGCACATAGTGAGCCCTAGGACTCCCAGTCTGAGTCCACCAGTGCAAGATATTCAGGGGCTCAGATTTGGAGATCTGTTTCCTGCTACTTACCTAGTTGGGACATATGAATTGCAAATCACCTGAGAGGGCCTGGTTCCCTCCCCCTTGGAATTTGCTGGAAGTTGTTCCTAAAAAGTTTTAATGACACAGGGCAAGAATCAGGCTGGAGCTTTACTGAAGGTAGGTGAAAGAGATAGACTCTTAGTAGTGTGATTATGAATGGTGTGTGTGCGTGCAGCTACTAATACAAACAGTCAGTACAAACATTCTGGATAAATTTTCCCTCCCACCAGACAGAAGTCCAAGGCATTCAGGACTTGCTGTGCCAACTATTCCCAAATGCCATCACTCCATAAATACATTCAACTGGCTTATTACAATACAAATGGGGAAAGAAAGAAAACTTTATAATGAGTCTCCCCCCATAGTCTCCCTAATTTTCTTCTGAGGTTTCACATGGGGACCAATGGCTCCAGGATTCCTGCCTTCTTCTGCAGCTTTCACAGACATCTGGGGGAATGGGTAGGACTTGGGAAGATCTGTTCCACTCTGGTTGCATAGTGGCTTTTTTAGTGGATGGCTGGATTCAAACCCAATTTTCTGGCTCAAATGGATGGAGGCAGCATCTGGGTCAGTGTGCTCTGCTTCCAAAGGCTAGGGGGGGGTCATCTGTGTAGGTCATCTGCCCTTTTAACATTTTCTTTTCTGGTGGGGGCTGACTTCTCACACTTTGAGTTATCCCACGTTGAATTGTCCTGTGGCGAGTTGGTCAGGGCAAATTATCCCGTGGCAAGTTGACTGGGCAAGTTGGCCAGGATGAGATGACCAGGGAGAGTCGACTGGGGAAAGTTGGCATTGTGAGTTGTCTTAGACTTCCTCTGGGTCCCTTCCTTTCAATTAAATCCTCCTCCCTCAGGGGAAGTTCCATCGATGTAGCGATGAAATTGAAGCTAAGATGGAACCAGAGAACTGGACAAGTGACAATCGTATATTGTTGGGATTCAATATAATTCAGATCTTTTCTATCCAGTTGTTCACAGCTTCTAGACATTGGACCAAGTCTTTCATCATCTCTCCTGCTCTGGAAATACAGCGTGCCAATAAACCGTTATCTGAAACCAATAGATGAGTCCTCCTAACAGTTTAATGACAACATTTAAGTAACTAATTCAACTATTAGTATATGTGCACACTCCAGAAGTTTCTAGTTAGGAAAGAATAATGTAGCAGTAGTAATGTACCACAGAATATAGAGCGAGTTCTGAAGCTAATCCTGGAATGGGAGAGAAGAGGAACCTAATCAGGGTTAATTGTGATAACTGAAAGCGTGCTTGTGTGAACCAAGTAGTTAGCCTCATTTCAGCCCAGTATGCTGACCAAATTCAGCCAATGTGACTTGTTCTGTATTTTACGCAAACCCAGAAAACTGGGTTAACAGAGAATATCATGGTGACTAATTGCTATAGTCAACGTGAAGAGATATGATCCAGTTTCTTCACAAGGTTATTTGTCGCTTCAGGTTGTGGCCAAGCAGATAAAGCTGTTATCTGAGCGCCCTTGGCGTTTTTGTGGGGGTTAGTGATGGCGGCGGCCAGCTGCACTGCATGATAATCGCTGAACCTCGGATCCATTTTCACGGGTTTTCAAGCACGCTTTCACCAACTTCTCCACGTTTTAACCGTGACCAAGGCAGACAGTCGATTCCGCACGGTCTTTCCCGCCTGCGTTTTCGAAGGTTTGCCGGCTTCGCGCTTTTATCTCGCTTCCTTTCCCCCCCCCCCCCCAAGGTGGGAAACTCTGCAGTGCAGGAGGGGCTCATTTCATGGCATCGGCTTCGGGATCGCGTCTACCACCTCAGGGAGGAAACAGAGCAGCTTTCCTCTCTCCCCCCCCGCAAATGGATGTCTTCAACGCTTGAGAAACCCGAGCAGTTAGGAGCAAGCATATGTTTTGCACGCTGCCCGCCGGGCGACGGGACTCGAGATTGCAGATGCTTCCTGCTCAGGCAACCCGGCGATAAACGGTTTTAACTCTCTCCTACCCCTCTCTCTGGGATCTTTCCGACTGCACTCCGGAGAACGGGCGACGTGCCGCCGCTCTCAGCCTTTTGGGGGTTTTTTTTTTCGTCCAGGCCGGTCACATGCCGCCTCAACCGACGTCCAAGAGACTTCGCCCGTCAGCTTTTGCCGAGAGCGAGTCCTCCTAGGCCGGGGAAGGAGGCATTCACGCGCTACACTTTACAGCCGTTTATTACTACCACCACCAACTCCTCCCTCCCCTTCCCCCCCCCCTCTTTTGCAGCGTTGAGGTATTGGTCGCTCCCGCTGACGGTGGGTAGTTTGCAGACGCTCCCTTAGCTCCAGCGAGGCTTTTTTTTTTTTTTTTTTTGGTACACTCCCGGGCGGGCAAGGCGGCTGGCAGACGCTCCCTGCTCGGCCGGGGCTCCTTCACGCCGCAGTCGGAAGAGCGCGACGGCTGGAAGGGAACGCCGCGTCCGGCTCGCTTCTCTGGGGTTCCGCTGCGGCAGCTGGCTGAGCTCGGCCCTCGGCGCCGCCTCAAGCAAGCAAGCAAGCAAGCAAGCAAGCGCCGCTCTTGCGCTGCTCCATGTCCGGCCTCCCCGCCATTTCGGCGGGGGGGCCAAGCCCCGGCCCCGCTTAGCGAGAGAAAGAGAGCGCAAGATGGAATGAGAAGAAAAAAAAAAGGGGGGGGGCGCCTCGCCGGCGACGCCAGGGAAGCTGGTAAGCAGCTTTGCTTTCTCTCTCCGCGCGCGCCCTGTTTTCCGAGCGGGAGCGGCATCCGCGAGCTCCGGCAGGAGGAGGTGGAGGCGGCGGCGGCGGCGGCGGAGCTCGCGCCGTGTGAGGGCCCGCGGTCTTGGCGCCTGTGGGGAGGAGGAGGGAGCCGCTGACTCCTCCCACCTTACCTCCCTCCCGGTTCTCGTGCCGCCGCCGCCGCCGCTCTTCCACCGCCCCCCCCCCCAGGCTGCGGTCTGCTGGCGTGCTGGGTCGGTCGGTCGCAATGGAAAACCCAGCAGTTTCCTTTTCCTCGCCCACGTTGACGAGCGGGCGCCTTTTTCTCTCGGGGAAACCCTGGAATAGGTAGGTTACTCCTTCGCTGCTCGCCCGCCCGCCCGCCCTCACGCATTTGCCTGCCGGGCGGGGAGCGGCGTGCCTGCCTGCCTGCCTGCCTGCCTTCCTTCCTTCTTTCTTTCTTTCTTTCTTTCTTTCTTTCTTTCTTTCTTTCTTTCTTTCTTTCTTTCTCCGATTACCTCGCTTTCCTCGGAGAAGCTGGCAAACGACCCGCTTTGTCCCTCGGCTTTTACGGGACACTTTTCCCAAAGTCGTTCTGGTTTTTGACGGGACCGCTGGAGGCGAGGCGCTGTGGCTTCTCCTGGCTCACCTGCTGCTTTGTCTTTCTCCTCCGGTGAGCAAAGAGGACCTCGGTCCTTGGTTTTGTGTGTGTGTGTGTGTGAGAGAGAGAGAGAGAAAGAGAATTATATCTGGTGATGTGATTGAGGCAAGACTGGCGTTATTTTCCCTTTGCACGAAAGTGTCCCCCCCCCCTCCTTCTTTCTCGGCCACAGATACAGAGCTGGTTACACCACACCTGCTTTATTTTTTTTCTCGTTTTTCTCGATTTTTTTTTTTTAAAGGTCGGTGGTGCTTCTTCCCGACGCTTTGGAGAGGCTGCTCATCCTCCGTGGTAAATCACCATTTGTTGTCGGGTCTCCCTTTGCTTGCTAAAGTCGCCGCTTACCTTGTTTTAAGAGGATCCAGGAATCAGTGTGGTAATCTTGCAGGTTGCTTCTCAGTTGTTGAATGGATCGGGAGGCGCCTCTATGCCTATTGCTTGCAGACGACCTTTAGTGTCATGTTAGGGCTGTTTTTCTCCAGCCTTTATTTTTTGCAGACAGCTGTTATTTTACTCCCTCTGAAAGGAAAGGAGCTTTTCTCTCCCCACTCTATCCCATTAGCAATTATTATTTTTCCCTTATCCCCGTTTTAAAGGATAATAGCATCCTTTTTAAGGGGCTAGCCTACAATGCTGTGGATAGCCTTGGAGTTAGTAGAAGAAAGGAGAGGACATCAACAACAAAACCACTTGTTGGCCTTCCCTATATATACCCCATTTTTCTTTGGCCTTTCTTTGTTATGTGCTGCTTCCATGAGATAGTTCAGGCCATGTATTTTCCCTTCCTGGTAATAGTGGTAGGATATTGAGTTTTGGGGCTAAAGTATTAGTATTGAAAATGTGAGCAAAAATGTGGTAACTGGTGTTTGTTTGTGCTTTGAGGACCTCTGTTGACTGATCAGTGTAGTCTCATTGCTAATATTACTGTGGGGAGTAGCATATTAGGAAAATGCAGCAATACAGCAATGTTGACATGTCAATGTTTCCTTTACATTTCATGATATTTCAATCAATCAATCACAGATCAGCAAATAAAAGGATTAAAAGATGGTAATAGTAAGAAATAAAAAATAAAAGACAGACATAATAATGTATTGCAATTGGTGGTAGATTAACAACGGGCAATTAAAGTTTGCCTAATTTTATATACAGCATAGCAGAATTTGGCCACATTCAGAGTAACTACTTCATACTGATCTGATAACAGTAGTTGCACATAAAAAAGATATGTGTTTCCTGGATATTTTATTAGGTAAAGTGTTATAAATTGAGTCCATGAGTCCTTATAAAAGATGCAGTATAGCAGGACATGAGCTATAGTTTCATGTTATTATTTAGCCTATCAGGCTTGATAATAATGTGACTAGTACCACATGGAAGAGTTTTCCTTATGTGGTTTTCATGATGTGGTTAATACTTATTATGCTAAAACTGGGGAGGATGGCGTCTGAAATCTTTTGATCAAAATTCCTGGGCCTGGTTTAGCATGCTGCCATTTTTTGCATTATTAATACAAATAATACATTTGTACTGAATTGCAAAAAGAAGAAAGATGTAATCTGCAGAGAAATTAGGTCTCATACAGAAAAAAGGCAGTAAAACAATGTAAGAAGGGCAAATGTACTTACATTAAGTAATAATCAGGTATAATGTCGGTATTACCATGGACAAAGATTGCCAAAGAAGATTTATTGTGGTTGCATAAGAAATGATCTACAGGTGTGTCCAACGTTTTCACTTGCTTGGGCCGCACTGAATGAAGAGGAATTATATATATAAAATATATACTAGTTTATATATATAAATAATAAACTATATAGTTTATTATAAAATATAAAGTATTTTATGTATACTTTATTTGGGGGGGAATCTTGTGGGGCCTCATTACTAGTTGTCTAGGGCCGCATGTGGCACATGGACTGAGGTTGAACATGCCTGATGTACAGTATGCTGTTTACAATTCAAAATGGTAACTTTAGTCCTTCAGGATATTCATAACTATTGGGTAAAAATGTCTTATACGTAAATTTGAAGCAGGGTTTCAACGGGGTTTCAGGACAAATATCGTATAAGTTTTTATAAATTACAATCAAAAACAGTTGTACGATGTCAACTATAATGGTTTCCAGAAACTCGTTAACAGGTAAAACCTGTGTATGATGTAGCATATTGATCCAGGCTGATTCTGGTCCCCAGAAACTAGCTGGAAATTATAGTCCCAGCATATTTGAAATTAAAAAAAAATTCCTACTGATGTCAGCAGGTGTCATGATCATCTATGAGAAGTATTAGTCACTACATACAGTATGGCCTTGTTTGGGCTAAATAATCTTAATATGCAAGTAGTGTATGTATATATAGAAATATGATGGATTTGCTTTCTAAAATATTTTTAAAATAACATGTATAGAAAATGTATATTTTATAAGTGCTCGTTATTACACTTGCTTTAATTAGATTCATTTTATACTACAAGTAATCCTTGAGTTATGACCACAACTGAGCCCAAAATTTCTGTTGCTAAGCAAGACACTTGCCCCATTTTATGACCTTTCTTGCCACAGTTAAGTCAGTCACTGCAGTTAAGTTATTAACACGGTTGTTAAGTGAATTTGACTTCCCCATTGACTTTGCTTGTCACAAGGTCACAAAAGATTATCACATGGTCCCGGGACACTGCAACCGTCATAAATATGAGTCAGTTGCCAAGTGTCCGATTTTGATCATGTGACCATGGGAATGCTGCAATGGTTGTAAGTGTGAGAAATGCTTATAAGTCGCTGTTCAATGCTGTTGTAACTTTGAGAAGTCACTAAATGAACTGTAAGTTGTAAGTTGAGGATTACCTGTAGCGACTTATTTACCAAGTATCTAAAAACTTATTCTGAAGACAGAACAAACATCCTGCTATGCTGCCGGGGTTCAAAATATGTATCTACATTCCAAAGTTATTTTGATTTCATTTGACCACACGTTAAACTTCCATTCTTCAGGATACTATGAAAGTTGTAAATGAGTTGATCAGTCGTCCTTTTGCTCAAGTTTGATATTGGAAGCTTCTTTACATCCAAAGCTCTCTAGTAGCAGAAATGTGGGAGAATTGTCATTCTTCCCCATTTCTTCCTGTTAGGAGAGTCTACTCACTTCCTTCCCATTGTAGTGAGTGGGAGGAAAATGATGTACATTAGCACAGATTGTTCTTTATGAATCTGGGTGGTGTAGTTTTGTTTCTTTGAGTGGTGGTGGTTTTATAGATACTTGTATAGATACTTATTTTTATGGAATTGCTCTTTTAACTTTGTGAAGCTGCCTAGAGTTTGTTGATTTAAGAATATATCATAGCTGACTTGAGACATTGTTATATCTGGCCATTATTATGTCAATCAACTCTTTCCTCAGGTTGTGCCTGGAGATAAAAAGTTTAGTGTAGGATATTCTGCAGGGTTTGGAAAGAAAGACACAAGATTGAATCTCTTTTATGGGAAGGATTCAAGATAGGGAGATATGGAACATTCTACCATCTATGAGATGCCATAATGCTAGAGCAGTGGTTCTCAACCTGTGGGTCGGGACCCCATTTGGGGTCGATCGACCATTTCACGGGGGTTGCCAAGCAAGGCTGTCCACCATTTTTTTTGTCCGCCATTTTTTCCCCTTTTCCAGCGGGTGCCTTACCTCCTTTGGGCTGGGCCAACTGGTGGTCGGCCTGCTCCGTCTCTGCCGCTTGCCAGCTACGCCTCGGCTGGCACAGGGGGCGGAACCACGCATGCGTGGCGCTCCCTGGCAGGGAAAGTCCTCAACTTACGACCGGTTGGGTAGTCCTCGACGTACGACCGGTTTAGTCCTCGACTTACGACCGGTTTTGTCCTCGACTTATGACCACTTTAGTCCTCGACCTATGACCGGTTGGGGTTGCGGCATTAAAAAGGTTGAGAACCACTGTGCTAGAGCATGAATCTGTAGAAAGAAATGATGTTTGGTACTCAAGCCACAATTTTATAATTACAATTCTGTATTTATTTAACTGAAGAAAGCTTAATTGGTCTCAGTGGGTCTTATTTTCTAGTAGATAGCAATAAAATTAACTAGTTATAATAAATATCTTTTCTAGCCTAGATTCCCCAATTCTGTCAATTTGTATACAAATTACTTGCCTGGGGTCTTGGATAACTAGCTGATCTACTTGGGGTATGTGTGTGGAATTAATGGCTTAAGATGAATTTAAATTTTATTTAATTATTTAACTAAGGCAAAGACTTGTTTTGTTGTGTTCAGACTTTTTTTAAAAAAAAAATTGGGATTGTTCAGTTCAAATATGCCTTGTAGGCTGCCTAGAGTCATTTTGATGAGATGGATGTGTTATAAATTGTTTAATAAATAAAGTCATAATTAATGGTGTTAAGTGAATCTAAAAAGAACAAAATATAGCAGTAGTCCTCAACTTACAATTCATTTAGTGGCAGTTCGAAGTTACAGTGGCACTGAAAAAAGTGACTTATGACCATTTTTCACACTTACGACCATTGCAGCGTCCCACAGTGATCACCTTTTGCAACCTTGTGACAAGCAAAGTCAATGGGGAAACCAGATTCACTTTTAACCATATTATTAATTTAACAACTGCAATGATTCAGTTAACAAATGTGTCAAGAAAAATCGTAAAATGGGGCAATACTCACTTAACAAA